CACAAATAAGCATATTCCGATTAGATAACACTCATGTCTATTCCCGGTCCATGTAACTATTACTTCGTTACTTTTTCACCACTCTCCCTTACTATTTAACCACTTAAAATTTATCACTTTTGCAGAACGATGTTTGACACGTCTTCTCCACTGGAAGAAGAGAGAGATAGAGAGAGAGAGTGAGAGAGAGAGAGATTTATTAGGATGTCTATAAATTAAAATGATAGCAAGGTTCATATATTTTAAGTGGATAATGACGCCCATTCTTTCAAGTTTATTGTTAATATAGGGAGTGTCTTTAAGAAAGGAGTATTGAATAGACTTGCAGAGAGCAATCAGTAGACCACCGCTCTTATTAATTTGTGAATCAACACGTAAAATAGTGAAATCACGAATATGAATTTGATTTCTGTTACAAAGCCAAGTTTCAGATAAGGTTATAATGTCAAAGCCATAAAACCGAGAATATGATAAGTCTATTTTATTGACAATGGAATGACAATGGAATTGCAATATTTTAAGAGTGTCGCTAATAGGATGATTGTTCTATGGTTCATTATGGGATGGAATGCGTAAAGGAGAGAGTGAGCCAATTGATTGTATAAGTAAGCTAAGAATTTCAAAAATGGAATCGTACAGACCCACAAGCTTGAGGAAGGGTTCTTCTATTTTTTCCATAATAATGTCGACTATTCTTATTATTTGACTAACTAATTCTCTGTTTGATTGCGGAAACAGGGGAGAAGGGGCATAAAGGTTTGTAGGGGAAGACGCGAATTGCGAGAAGAGAGAGTGTGAATAATGATTATTATTTCCTTGTTTATAGTAAATACCATTTTTTGAAGGAAACGAAAAAGGAAATCTTCCATTAGGAGATATTAAAAGAAAGTCGGTGTTGACTCTATAAGAGTTATTGCAAGAAGAGAGTGAAGGAGAGGAGTGATCGGAAGAAGAAGGGATGGAAGAGGAGATATGTGAGTGGAGTTTATGATTTTTTGGAACATGGGGTGGGGGAGAGGAAGGGAAAGGGGTGGTTATATTAGAATTTGAAGAAAAAAAGGAAGAATTTTTTTGAAAAAGGAGGAAAATTTAGGAGAGACCGAAGGGAAAGAAAAGGAGATGTTAGAAAGAGTGGGAGACTGAGATAAAGGGGAGTTAAAATTAAAGTTAAAGTTATCATTGTTGTTACTATTGATAGGAGAAAGGCTAGGATTGTTATTACGCAGGACTTGCGCATAGGATATATTAGAATAAGGTGAAGTATATGAGAAGTGAGTATTTGGAGAGAAGTGGAAGATATGGAATTGAGGAGGGGAAACGAAATTAAGCAAAGAGAATTTGTTGAAATTATTAAGAGAATTTAAGGAGTGTGAATAAGTTGACATGATATTTCTAATTTTAATTCTGACTTTGACTAAAGAAATATCATCAAATGCAGCCGGTTCTCTGATTCTCCTTTGGAGAATGTATTCTAGGCAGTTAGAGCTTGTGGCCTCATGTGGCCCTTTACAGTTAATAAAAAATAGAGACCTTCTCTCTTGGAATATTCTGAAGGATTTTCGTGTTCCTTTTCACCACAGAAATTACATCTGGGATGGCCTTTGCATTGCATTTTTAAATGGCCAAAGCGAAGACAAGAATAGCACATAGAAGTTTTTGTGACAAAGGGCTCAACATTATATCTAATTCTATACAAGAATAAATACCTTAGGAGGAGTTGTCCTTTAAAAGTTACTAGAATAGTTTTAGAGAGAGTCAGATTATTTCCAGGACTTCATCACCTGAGTTACGCTTGACAGGTGGCTCAGATACTTTTTATTCCTGCGATTCAGTCTTTTTACAGAAATGGTTATCGAATCACTGTCAATTCCCTTGCGGATGTCTTCATCAGACAAGTTTAGAGGGAAATTGCGGATAATCCCTTTTCTGCTTGTCCTAAATAGAGGAACAATAGCTTTTAGGTTCTTGGATTTAAATATTGAGTTAGTAACAAAGCTATTTGCAACCTCTCTAGATTTTAATTGTATATTGATTTTAGAGAAACCAATTTTTCTAATCTCGCAGATATCTTTCCTAAGAAATAAATATAATGTCTGTCCGACAAAGATAGGATCAAGGGAAGAATTATCAACTGTTTGAATCACTACGTTAAAGAGAAATGATATCGTATCTGTTAGATTTAATGGGGATATCTTTAGTAGGATTGGATTCAAGGGTAAAAAGCTGGGTCAGTAGAAGTTGGGAGATTACGGCCTGGGTTTTCCAAGCCACTTTTATTATTTTTAGAGGAAGGAACCTGCAATAATACAGGCCTTGCTTTGCGCTTATTACTACTAATCTTACCCTGAAGATCCTTGTTTGCAATAAAGGTGGAAGTGTCGGTGATCAATTGACTGGAAAAAAAAATTTTAACGTATTAATATCAGAGGAGAGAGAATCTACGGATGCATCAGCGACAGCCCTTGCAGACTCAGACACATCAGCGTCCATTTCAGTATCCTCGGACTTAGCGGGAAAGAGAGGAAGAGAAGATAAGATTAGATCCAGTTTATGTTCGTCGGATGAATAGTTTTCGCTATTAGTCTTAATACTTATGTCCTCGAAAAAAGCCGGCTAAATGATGGGCAAGGAGCACGGAGGGAGAGGAGAAAACGCCTCCCGTACTTTTAAAACTTCTCTTGAGAGTTACCGTAAGGTTATATTCACTGCACTCGATGAGATCCATGTTTGTAATGTACCTCTGAATATACGAGCACAGTCCACAAACAAACTTAAGACACACTAATGACTTAAATATTGACTTGAATGTTCACAGCGTAATTGAGATGTGTTCTCTGTACAAAATGACCGTCCGGATCTCCTCGTCATATTTTTCTTCAAGTAAGTCGAGTACTTCTGAATCCACTAAAGCACCACGTACGGCTTGAAGCAGAGTCCCAAATGCTGGAACGATCGTTTTCACGAATTTATCGTGACTCTTGGTTTTAAACGATCGGAAGCTAACTTTTGTCTACATAATGTCAAGTAAGAAAATTCTTATCTACTTAATTCTGTATGTAGATGATATGCTTATATGTGGCAACGATTCTCAAGTCATAAATCTTGTCAAACGAAGACTATCAGCTGAATTTAAAATTAAGGACCTCGGAGCGGTGAAACATTTCATGGGAATGAATATTACAGTTAAAAATAAAGAAGGCATATTAACCATTGACCAATCCGACTACTTATCAAGAATTTTGGAAAGGTTTAGTATGAAGAATTGTAATACTGCGAGCACCCCGATGGAAATAAACTGCAAATTAAAACGCATTAATGAGGCTGAAGTCACTCAACTTCCTACAAGGAATTATTGGAAGTCTTATGTACTTCATGTTGTGCACAAAACCTGACATGTTTCGCAACTGGATATCTATCTATGTAGATATAAAGACAATGCTACTGATGAACATTTCTCACATCTTAAACGAGTGCTACGTTATCTAAATGGTACGGCTGATATGAAGCTAGTATATAAACTCTCAGCTGAAATACCTCTATTTGGTTATGCCGACTCTGACTGGGCTAATGACTTGGACGACAAAAAATCTACCAGTTATCTTTTTCTACCTTTTCTAGTTACCTTTTTCTATAAAAATACTGTCTTGTGGAGTAGCAAGAAACAATCGATTGTTACATGTTCTACTACAGAGGCTGAACTGCTGCTGCTGCATCTATGGAAGCAACTTGGCTCATCAAGATATTAACCGACCTGAAGATTAATCCGATGTTACTAGTGAAGATCCACGAAGATAATCAGGGCTGCATACCTTTTAGTTTCGGAATTACGTTTCTTGTAATTCCGAAACTAAAAGGTCTAAGCATATTGATGTAAAATTCTATTATATTCGCAAATGCGTATGGACTAAGAAGATTGAACTTGTGGGAATACCATTCAAGGATTAAGTAGCTGATTGCCTGACTAAGTCCCTTAGGAAAACACCTTTCTCTGATTGCAGAAATAAACTCGGCTTGAATCGAGGGGAGGTGCAGAGAGTGCGCAGATGTTGCTCTATACGAGTAGTAGAGAGAGAGCGGTCAGATGTCGCTTTCTACATATAAAATATAATAAGAAAAAAGAGCGCGAGAGCTACTGCTGTAAAAGTTGTTACTGTATTTTATTAGATACTGTATATTCAAGATTCTATTTCTAATATATACTTTTATTTAAATTCTGAGAAGCTCAGCTGTGTGGCTTATTTGGAATGTATAGCATTTCCCTTTTGCTTCTCTTGTGTTCATCATGTCGTCGCTTGTAATATAATAAAAGAAAAATCATTTGAAGATCACGTAAAAGTCAACTTCAGTTTTTTAAATGGAACCGCCTATTTTTCATTGCATATTCTTGTAGCTTAACTCAAGAGCTTCCCAAAACCCTATAATAAAGTATTTTTTTATGGAGTACTTTTTAAGTTATAAAGATTTGAAGTTAACAATTTTTTGACATATAACAAAATGTAAAATATAATATTTTGTAAAATATTCAGTTTTCAGTAATCATACCTTAATATTTTTATGCACAGAATAATGAGCCAATCAATTGGTGTACAAAATGAAAAATAAGTAGTTCCTGTTAAGAAATTGAAGTTGACCTTCATGTAATCTTTAAATGACTTTACGAGGTCAAATCAATGGCACTATCTTATGTCTCCCTTCGAGTCCAACAACTTTTATTTGAAATATTTTTTTGTATCGTCCATATTTTTTTAGATATTTGCCTGGGGAGATTAAAATGGGACACCTTGTATATTAAAACAACAGTCGTTTGTCTCTTTACTTATTAAATGAAAAATGAACCTTATTGCACAATATTATTATATACGATACAAAACAAAATATTACTAAAATTGTCGCAAAAGTGCAACTGATTCAGCTCACACTGGTTGATTCACACTTGGAAAATATTAATATAATAATAAGCCAATAAATAGCAAAGTATTTTTTACTCAAATTACATTAAAATGACTACCATATTGCTACCTGGAAAATTTTATGCAAAAAAAGTATTTTACATTAGGTTGCCATTGGTGCAAGGTGGCACCATATCGTTTTTGGTGCCGACTCTGGCGATATTGAACCTGCCACAGTGGCAGTGCCCTGTGCCGGAAGTCTTAAATCAGATGTCTTACGAGAATCGGACTGAGCTGTGGCAAATTCGAATGAGAGAACTATCGGGGGCTATTGCCGTTTCCGCTTTGTTTCAAGTGATTATTGGATTTGGAGGTGACTTTAATCGCCAAATCTATCATGTGTACATAATTTTTTCTTGCTTTTATTTTTTTAACATATGATGAGATATTATAACTGTGTTTAGGTATTGTCGGATATTTACTGAAGTTTATAACCCCGTTGACAATGGTGCCAACGGTTTCATTGGTTGGACTGTCCTTGTTCGAAAACGCAGCGGACGCCGCGTCTCAGCACTGGGGTATCGCAGCTGGGTATACATAATGTGTCTCATAATTTCCGAAAAAGCTTAAAAATTTTTTATATGGACTATTATATTGTGATACCAATTCAATTCAATTCATCGAAAATTATCTCTTGCATAAATTTTTAGAACAATAATACTGCTGACGACATGCTCTCAAATAATGGTTAATGTGCTATTTCCGTTTCCAATATATCGCAAAAACCAAGGATTTAAAATTATCTGGTTTGAATTATTTAAACTCTTTCCGGTAAGTATAAAGCGAAGAAAATCTTGTAGCTGACATTAATCCCAGGTAGCAAGCGTACGTCATTTTGACTTTTAATAACGTCAGTTTACTACATGGGATAGTCATTATCATGACATAGATGATGATATATTAATCTTAATAAGACTTTATTTATTTTTACACGCACACATTTGCATGTATATAACATTATTGTCATTGATAAATTCTGCTTAAGAGGATCCTAAACAGATGGCCGAACTCCGACGATTGCTTTGAGAAGTTAGTTGTTTTTTTTATCGACAAAATATAAAATTAAATAAATTATAAATCTATTTATTGGCTATACGAATTGTTTTTTATCTGAAATTAGAACGCTTCGCCTTTTGTTAATATCAATACTTTAATTTGTACAGGAAAAAGATTTATTAATCTGTATAGTCTCATATTTCTTGATTACAGAATAAGAATTTATAATTTTGTAATCAAGAATATGAGATTATACAGATTGATAAATCTTTTTTCTGTATAAATTAAAGTATTAATATTAACAAAGGGCGAAGCGTTCTAATTTCAGGTAAAAAATAATCCGTATAGCCAATAAATAGATTTATAGTTTATCTAACTTCATATTTTATCGAGAGAGATAAAAAAGGCAAAAAAGCAAAAAACTTCTCAAAGCATCTGTCGAAGTTTGGCCAACGTTCAGGATCCCTTAACAAAATTTTTAATAAGCAACCGCTACACTATATGTATAATCAAAATAAACTTAAAAAAATTTTATATCCATTTGTGAAATCGTAGAATGAAAAAGATTTGCGTACGTGTCATATATTTATAAATGATAAGTATTTCTTGCATTTGTAGATTTTATTAACAATTATCATTATGTGGATAATTTGCATTATACTAACGGCAACTGATATGCTACCGTATGGTCATCCCGCCAGATCCGATAGTAAATTGAAAATAATAAGCGACTCACCCTGGTTTCGGGTACCATATCCCGGACAGTGGGGCATGCCTACCGTAACATTATCAGGGGTATTTGGTATGTTAGCAGGAGTACTAGCGTGCACAATCGAGTCCATCAGTTACTATCCAACTACTGCGAAAATGTGCGGTAGGTACATTTGATTTAAATTCATTTATTTGGACAAGATATACATGTAAAATTTATCGCGCATAATTTGTAGGAGCTCCACCGCCACCGATTCACGCGATCAATCGTGGTATCGGCGTGGAAGGCCTTGGTACCATGTTGGCCGGACTTTGGGGTAGCGGCAATGGTACGAATACGTTTGGTGAGAATGTTGGCACAATAGGTAAAAGACGATTTTAGGCGGATTTTTCGCTGATTTATAAGCACTTATAAGAACGTAAGCAATAAGCCAATTGACATTTTAGTTTGGTTACTATTTATGTAAGTTTTACGGTTTGTATACCGATGAGTGTCCCAAAATTACTGGATATTCTGTTAACGGGTCATTTCCAAATAATCTTAGGAATCTCTCATTAATAGGGTCCAATAATTTTGGGACACCATATGTACGAGGTGTGTTCAAAAAGTATCGCGAATTTTGTGTTTTTTCAAAAATTATTTATTTATTCATGAATATCTATTTTGTTCCCTTCAAAGTAATCCCCACCAGATATTATACACTTGTGCCAACGTTTTTTCCAAACCTCGAAGCACTTCAAAAAATCATTTTTTGTGATCTTGTTCAGCTCCTCCTTCGATGCCGTCTTTATCTCCTCAATCGTAGCGTAGCGTCGTCCTTTCATGGGCCTCTTCAGTTTCGGGAACAAGAAAAAGTGACAGGGGGCCAGATCTGGGGAATACGGTGGCTGCGGCATTATTAGTGTGTTTTTGGCCAAAAATTCGCGCACAAGCAACGATGTGTGAGCAGGGGCGTTATCATGGTGCAAAAACCATTTCGCGGCGACCCGTGTCATGCCCAAATCATTGGTAAAAATCGAATGGCACGAGCCAATCGATATGTTTAGGTCCTCAGCAACTTCTCTAACGGTGATTCGACGATTGACCAATACTATTTTCTTCACTTCATCAATGTTTTCGTCTGTTGTTGACGTGCTCGGGCGTCCGGCACGCTCTTCGTCGTTCACATCTTCTCGGCCCTCGGAAAACATTTTGTACCACCGATAAACGTTGCTTCGGTCCAAGGTAGCTTTACCATATGCCACAGTCAACATTCGGAATGCGTCCGCGCACTTAATTTTGTTTTTCACACAAAATTTGATACAGATTCTTTGATCCATTTTTTGGAATAGGCAAAAATCGAAGACGAGCCAAAACACGTGCAAGCAAAGCAGCTGTCAAAAATTAACTAAACATTCAAAATGGCCGTACTTGTCGGCATAAATGAGAAACATGAGTACCAACATAACGCCACAAAAAAATCGAAAATCGAATATACGTAACCCGCGGAAATTCAAAATTCGCGATACTTTTTGAACACACCTCGTATACTTAAAAAGAGACAAGATCCGATACTCTATATTATTGTGCTAATTGGCCAATTGAACACTGATTAAGAACTCTGATTGATCAATCGTGCTTATTGTCAAGCATCGATGTGTAGATGGGACCTTTCCACTTGACTGTGATATTGATGATTGATCTGTGTTTATTGCTTACGCTTTTTTATGTACTATGACTTTATAATTATATAAATTATATAATATTTGACATAACGCGAAATAATTATAGGAGTTACCAAAATCGGTAGCCGTAGGGTTATACAATGGGCATGTTTGCTGATGATCCTACAAGGCGTGATCAGTAAGTTTGGCGCGGTATTTATCATAATTCCTGAACCGATAGTGGGCGGAATATTCTGCATAATGTTTGGGATGATTTGTGCTTTCGGTGAGTTTTTATGTAAAACAATACATATTTCCCAGACAGCACAGAATATTTATAAAATATTTATAAAATATTTATAATAATTATTTTAGTATTTTATAAATATTTATCATAAAATTAAAGTATAGATATTTGAGAATCGCCATACAGAATTTAAAAAAAATAACAATCTTCTCTCGACCATATTGGCAAATATTGTTAATTAATCAATCACAATGTTTCGACCCTTGTTTAAGTTCTTATCAAATGATCTAGATATACACAAAGAAGAATTACAGTAGAGAAATTAATACAATAAAAATTACTTTACTTAACGATATTATAAAATAATAGAACGAAGAGAAACATACTTGCTAAAGTAAAATTATAATTTTAAGATGTCAAAAGAAACGAAACATAATAGAACGAAGAGAAACATACTTGCTAAAGTAAAATTATAATTTTAAGATGTCAAAAGAAACGAAACATAGTGTCGATAATATATAAATAACTCGTCTAAGATTCTTGACGTGTTGTCAAACCGACACTATGTTTCGTTTCTTTTGACATCTTAAAATTATAATTTTACTTTCGCAAGTATGTTTCTCTTCGTTCTATTATTTTATAATATCATTAAGTGAAATAATTTTTATTGTATTAATTTCTGTACTATAATTCTTCTTTGTGTGTATCTAGATCACTTGATAAGAACTCAAACAAGGGTCGAAACGTTGCGATTGATTATTTAACAATATTTGCCAGTACGGTCGAGAGAAAATTGTTACTTTATTTATCATAAATATTTTATAAATGTTTTTGGAATCTTAGATTCAATAGATCAAAAATATTTATCATAAATATCAGTAAATATTTATGATAAATATTATGGTAAATATTATAAATATATTTATTAAATCATTCATACAAATTTTTTAAAATTTACATTTCCTTTAATAAATACTCATTGTCAGTAAGAAATCATGAGTCAAAAAGACATAATCAACGATTTTTTAATTAAAATGATCGATTGATATAGTCTAATTTAAAATTTGGTCGATTAGGATGTTTTTGTGTTTATCAAACTCTATTAGCCATTTATAAAAATTTAAAAATGTGTAAAAAATGTTTATAAGTAACTTATTAGACATTTATTTTAAAATAGAATATAAAATTATAATATACACTATACAATATACTTAGGGAACACAGTAGTTTAACAAATAAATTTACGTACACATCGATATATACGTAAATTTATTTGTTAAAAGACATTCTGTTGCAAAATGTAGTTTAAAAATAGAAATAATTTTGACATTTTTAATTTTATAAATTTCAGTTTTCGCCAGTCTTCTATATTTCTCACGACAAAAATCAAATATGAGAAAGATACTTCACATAGCGGTAAATGAAAGAATAACAATTTAGTTAAAAAATATTTACAAAATAATTACTATAAATATTTATCTTTACATACTATAAATATTATATAAAATACTTAATCTATGTTTTAATAATTGTTATATAAAGGTTTTTATAAAAGATTTTTAAAATATTTATATAATATTTATATAATATAATATTTATATAATATTTGAAAAAAATATATATTTATAAATATTTATAAAACTTTATCATAAATATTGTGTGCTGTTTGGATTTATTATTTTGATTGAAAATATTACTATATAAATATATATTTTCTAATCCAGAGTTTATCATTAGGTCTGTCGATATTGCAATATATAAATCTCAATTCTTCGAGAAATCTGTTTATCTTGGGCCTATCTATATTTTTTCCTTTGGTATGTATATATATATTATTATTATATATATATATATATATATATATATATATATATATTCTCGGAATTTATTACCCGCCTTTCTTTCGTCTATTCATTCATACCGCATATAATCAGTTGTATGTACACCGACCGGTAGGAATGGTGTCCGGCGTGAGATTTCAGATGTGTGTATACGTGTATAACAGCCGAAAATCATATGCACACATACGTAGCGCGACATTGCATGTGTCGCTTGAAGTGTGGCGAAGGAGCGAAGGAGAAAGTAATAGGGAGTATTCCGATATTGCATCTCTCTCAAACATCGTATGATCAAGAGAGAAAGCAATACAAGACGTGGTGTCCAATAGCTGTCTCACTCACTCGACTATGAATTGAAGGAGTGCGAGTGAGACAGCTATACGGACATGCGGACACCGCGGGTCGCGCTTGTCTATCGGTGTCTCGTTCCCGTACATTACTGACGTCGGACACCATTCCTGCCGGTCAGTGTACATGCATGTATATGTATATATGCATAAATGTTCTAGCACATGCATGTGATTTTGTATATAAAAAAAAAATGCGCAAATGATATTATTAGGACTTATTTTTAGGTTCTGTCGAAATGGTTGATTAAATATTCGGACATAATACAAACGGGAAATGTTATAATAGATAGTGTATTCACTGTACTACTCAGTACCACTATTTTAGTCGGTGGAGCATTAGGCTGCTTTCTGGATAATATCATACCAGGTATATTATATGATCAAATAGAAATAATAACAAAGAGTATATATAAGGTATATACATATATGAGTATTTATTAAAGGAAATATAAATTTTAAAAATTTTGTATCAATGATTTAATAAATACATTTATAATATTAATTTATTTATTTAATATCAATAAGGTAATGCAAAAGAACGTGGATTGGAAGACTGGGCGAAGGAAATGGAATTAACCGATCGCAGTACGACTGATAAGAAAGTTGACGAAATGTCTAATGTCGAATATGTCACGAACACTTTCGACTTTCCATTTGGAATGAGTTTGCTCAAAAGGTATCACATAAACTTTATTTCCGTTTGTATATATTTGCATGGATAACAATTAATATTTTCAGGTGGAAATGGACATTTCATATACCGTTTTTACCCACGTATAAGAGATAATATAAATGTATTATATTGCTTCAAGAACGCTCTTTTTGTTATGATTTATAATCGAAAATATGTGATATAAATATATAAATATAATATCTAATATAAAAGATGTAAATATAATATCTAATATAGTATCATAAGAAATTTTACGTCATATATATATATATATATATATATATATATATATTATATATATATATAATATTAAAAAAAAAATATATATATATATACATATATGATGTAAAATTATACATTATAATTACAAATTATATTATATATATATATATATATATATATATATATGTATATATATATATTAATAAAAGGAACTTAATAGGCCAACAAACGAGCAAAAATTAGGTGTAAATAAAAACTTTTTCTTTATTATTAATATCCTTCGCATGTAAACGTTTCGACCTCACTAAAGTCTTTTTCAATACAAAATTTAAAAATTAATAAAACCTAACATTAAAACATGATATAAAATTATGATATAAAAACATATGGTGCAATGTGGTATCGAAAATATTTAATTAGAGAAAGCTATGTCAATTCGAAACTCGGATATCGCCAATACAGTAAAATGTTCTAAACAATTTTGTATAAGCTTAAACGACTTGACTACGACGTAACTAGCAATTTTATTTGATTATTTCACGACGTTTCGACCATTTGGTTGTGGTCCTTTTCAAGTGAAATTTCTACAACATAATGTTACACAATATTTTTTAACATACGAAAACTCATTTAAGTGTTAAATTAATAAAATAAGTATAAATTTTATAAACATACCATCAATTAAACCGAGGTTAACATAACATCACACCGGTGTTATTTGAAATCGAAAGTTAAACGTTAAAAGAGGAACACGTCCCATCGTTATGATGTTAAAAGTTAAAAATTAAAAGAGGAACACGTCCCATCGTTATGATGTTTCGTCAACGACTAAACTTGAAACGCGCCACTAAACAATCTTTATTATTTTGTCGTAAATGTTTGTCAAATTCTCGGTGTCTTTCTGTAGGTTAACTGTATTGCCATGCTTCTTTATGAAGAACATTTCAGCAATCTCTCTCTTTCTTACATGTTTCTCGTTATGTAAAATTGTCGGTGATTTCCAATCAAAGTTATGCCCAAAATCACATCTGTGTTTGCTCAAAACCGAATGATTAGACTCATGTAATTTAATATTGCTGGCATGTACCTTCACTCTAGTGCATAAATGTCTTTTTGTTTGTCCAATGTATGATGCATTACAATTTTCACAGTTAATCTTGTAAACTACATTCGTTTTAATATCATTAGTTATTAAATCTTTACCTCGTTTTATCAGCCTATTCAACTTTTTTGGCAAACTATAATATTGAGGGTCGTTGGAGTGACATAAGTCTAAAAACTAAATTTAATTTGCAACAGTTCCTATACGCTGTTGATGTAATACTTACTTCAACGAGTTTTCAATTTAACGAGCAGTATTATGAACAAATTTATGGAAGCCCTATGGGATCCCCTCTATCACCGATACTAGCTGACTTAGTAATGGATGACTTGGAAACAAATTGTTTAAATTCTTTAAGTTTTAAAGTTCAGACTTTTTATAGATATGTGGACGACATTTTTGTTATTTTACCTAACTCTAAAATAAATGAAATTTTAAGTACATTTAATAATTATCATGAACGTTTAAAATTCACACATGAAATAGAGACCAATTCTTCTATTAATTTTTTAAATTCTACAGTTATCCGCAATGGGAATAAATTGACAACTAATTGGTTTAGGAAACCTACATGTTCTGGCAGATACATCAATTTTCTTTCGAGTCATCCTATTAAGTACAAAATTAATACGATTTACAATTTAGTAGACCATGCAATTTTACTTTCTAACGAACAATTTCATAATACGAATATTGAGATTGTAAAGAACATTTTAATTAATAATTGTTTTCCGGATCATATTATTAATAAGTATGTAAATAAAAGAATTAATGTACTGAAGAACAACAGGAATGGTAACGGTCACAATGCGGATAATAACGACAGTTTGAGTAACGATTTAGATAATAACGTTAATGTGAATTCGGCTCAAGATAAGAATTATGTAATTCCACTCCCATACGTTAAAGACGTTAGCGACAGTATTAAAAGGTCACTTAATAGTGCTAACATAAATGTCGTTTATAGTTTGCCAAAAAAGTTGAATAGGCTGATAAAACGAGGTAAAGATTTAATAACTAATGATATTAAAACGAATGTAGTTTACAAGATTAACTGTGAAAATTGTAATGCATCATACATTGGACAAACAAAAAGACATTTATGCACTAGAGTGAAGGAACATGCCAGCAATATTAAATTACATGAGTCTAATCATTCGGTTTTGAGCAAACACAGATGTGATTTTGGGCATAACTTTGATTGGAAATCACCGACAATTTTACATAACGAGAAACATGTAAGAAAGAGAGAGATTGCTGAAATGTTCTTCATAAAGAAGCATGGCAATACAGTTAACCTACAGAAAGACACCGAGAATTTGACAAACATTTACGACAAAATAATAAAGATTGTTTAGTGGCGCGTTTCAAGTTTAGTCGTTGACGAAACATCATAACGATGGGACGTGTTCCTCTTTTAATTTTTAACTTTTAACATCATAACGATGGGACGTGTTCCTCTTTTAACGTTTAACTTTCGATTTCAAATAACACCGGTGTGATGTTATGTTAACCTCGGTTTAATTGATGGTATGTTTATAAAATTTATACTTATTTTATTAATTTAACACTTAAATGAGTTTTCGTATGTTAAAAAATATTGTGTAACATTATGTTGTAGAAATTTCACTTGAAAAGGACCACAACCAAATGGTCGAAACGTCGTGAAATAATCAAATAAAATTGCTAGTTACGTCGTAGTCAAGTCGTTTAAGCTTATTTTCACCACTAGCGACAAATATTAATTTTGATTGATATTAATTTTAATTGATCGAATTTTGTATAAGTTGTTCAAAAAATACTATATATGTTAAGATGTGTCAAAAAATTTTTTTGTTATATTATATATTTTTTTATAAAGAAGGTTCAAATGTAATTTCACGATTCTTTAATTTCAACTTCTTTTGATTTCATCAATTCACTCTCCAAAGATAGAACTTCTGATATATCCTGTATATACAGGGTGGGCCATTTTAAAAAATACGATCAATTTTCTCGTAAACTAAGTGAAATATCGAAAAATGGTTCAGACATGTGTTGTATGATTTTGAAAGGGCTATAAGATGGTGCCATTGGTTTGACCTTGGATATTCATTTGAAAATCACGCGAAGGTCACCTCAATTTTTTTAAATGGCACCCCCTATTTTTTATTACATATTCTTGTAGCTGACCTCGAGAGCTTTCCAAAACACTTTAGTCAAATGTTTTCCCATTGCCCACTTTTCGAGTTATAAAGCTCGAAAGTTACTACATTTTGATAAAAATACAAAATATATATATATATATATACCATATATATATTTCTTGAAATATTCATTTTCCGATAGTCTTATTTTACATGCTCCGACCAATTAGGGCAAAGTCCAAGCATTATCCAGCTAGTCAAGACAAGATCCGGACACGATCCAGCCAGTCAAGGCAAGATCTGGACACGATCCAGCCAGTCAAAGCAAGATACGAACACAGATCCAGCCAGTCAAGGCAAGATAGGAACACGGATCCAGCCAGTCAAAGCAAGATCGTTGATGATTCTATTAACTAAAGTAAAATCAAGAAGAATTCTGCCACCGAAGGCAAAATCGAGAATGATCCAGTCAAAAAAAATTTATCGAATCAATTGTTCGAAGTTGTCTCCATTGGCTTGGATACATAATGCCAACCTATCTTGGAAATGTCTTACTGTCTTGAGTAACATATCGCGCGTTATCCTTCTGCAAGCTTCTCGTATCCTTTCTATCATATTTTCTCTCGGTGTAGGCGTTTGCTCGTACACGACATTTTTCAGATATCCCCATAAGAAAAAATCGGGCGACGTCAGATCAGGAGATCGTGGAGGCCACGCGACAGGTGCATCTCGTCCAATCCATCTGCCATTATACGTTTCATTCAGGTAATCTCTCACACATCTTGTATAGTGAGGTGGTGCGCCATCGAGTTGTATCCATAACCTCTGGCGTGTTTGCAGGTCAATGTTTTCAAATAATTATGATAAGTCATCTCTAAGAAACGCCAAAAAGTTTTCTTCATTGACATTTCCATCAAAGAATTAGGGACCAATCAAATACCCATTCACAATCCCGCACCAAACATTGACACTCCAACGATTCTGATTATCTATTGGTCTATGCCAATGGGGATTAACATCTGACCAATAATGACAATTATGCCTATTTAGCTCACCATTATTTTTAAATGTCGACTCATCAGAAAACATGACAAAATTGAAAAAATTTGGTTCAGCTCTGATCATTTGTTGTGCCCATTGACAAAATTGGATACGCAATTGCATATCTCTTTGACTCAGAGCTTGTGTCATAGTTATGTGATAGGGATGGTATTTAAGTTTCTTTATAATCCTCCTAATTGTTGATCTTGGAATACCTAGTTCCCTTGCCAAAATCTGCTGACTTACATGAAGATTAAGATGAATTGCTGCCAGGAGCGTGACCACACGATTATCGTTTTCATCATACACATGATCTTTCCTTTTACGTTTGAGATGACCTTCACGAGCTCTTCGTTCGAGGTTTCGGATTAAAGCAGGATTGGGGTGTCCTTCCCTTTCAGGATACCGATCTCGGTAAACTCGCGAAGCTTCGTGATAATTTAAATGACATTCTCCAAGAATGAGAATAATATCAATGATCTCCGAGGGTGAATAGTCTCGCATTATTTTTTCCGTAGTTGCAAAATTCTTGAGCGATAATAAAGGAATACAATTGATAATTCGTATACAAATTTTTCTTTTACATTCTGCTGCCGACGACTAATGGCTCTGCGGTATCGCGAACTCGTTAAATCCTTTTCTGTATCGCCCGTTCGTAAGCGAGCTGTCCTTGTCTATCAC